TATTACTATACTAACTTTTTTAAACGGACGAGAATTAGATCTTATTTTTGGCTATGAAGTCCTACAGCTCTAATGAAGCCTTCTATATGGTTTTTTTTTCATTTTATTATGGTTGGTTTTCGTTTTTTTAAAAAGTACTCTAAACTGTATAAATAATATAAAATTAAATTGAATTTATTAACCAAACAGACAAACTTCTGCCTATGACACTCCAACTTGGATTGGGTTCAACTCCGGAGTGGCTACTCAATTAACAACCCTATCTATAAAGAAATTTTGTATATCATTTTTCTGTAAATCGATCTTTGATGATTGAATTAAAAAATATATATTGATATACATAACTAATAAAAATCAATAATTTTAGAATTTTACTAATTTTACTGAAGAATAAAATACATATGTGTGAGTACACAGCAAAACCATGCTTAGAGTATATAAAATACATATACTCTAAGCATGGTTTTGCTATGTACTCACCCACATATCCTAATGTTTTTTTTTTTGTCGTGAACAATTTTTAGTAAAAAACGTAAAAAAATATCTGTATTTTGATTTTTCTCTTTAGCAAACTTCTAACGTTACTATATATATAACAACTATTGACGCTTCATAGAATAAAATAATGCGTCGCGCACTGTATTAGTACTAATTTTAATAGGTACGTATGTATATAGTTATATAATCTAATAGAATATGGATATTACAAATTGCATAGAAATTACAAAATATATAGTAATTTTGATTTTGATAGTATCGGACCAATCATAATCAATATGTAGCATAAATTGAGCCAATCACGATTGAAACATTCACTATTCTAGAAATTGTACGGCGCAGCTAAATAACAGTTTCCCCCCAAAAATTAGTTTTTAACCATACTTGATTTAGTACTTTATTTTTTATAATAATACCGTATATAAATATCAATCAGTAATAATGAATTTGAGGAGTTTTAAAAAAACAACGAAGCATGCCTGCTACGATCCAGATTCCTAAAGGTAAGTAAACATCATTATAGTAATATACATTACTCGTATGAACTTCATTGTGGGTAGTCAGATCTTTTTTTCCTTCTATATTATAGATGTATTTATAAGGCTTAGGCCTGCCATCGACGGTACTCCCGTTCAGGGCATCTTGTTTGGCCAACGTGAAGAATGTCCAGATCGTAGACTAATAATTCATGTTAAGGTTAGGCATACACTTAATGTATATAAATTTATTTATTTATTTTCTCATTATTTCGCTTACACCTTTTCATCTTGGTTTTAGGGTTTTTTTTCATATGAGTCAAGTTCTCGGGACCTCGTCAGCACGATCGCAAAGTTGATGAACTGGAAAGGTCAAACTGTACTAGGATGGTTTGCAGTAAGTTAATTTTTTTATTTTTTGTATATCTTAAGCGATAAAACTTATGGAAAGTTGGTTATTTTTAAATTTTTCGGTGCGCCCATTGGTAGGCTCCCGGGCTCGACGTTCTAACACATTGTGATCCACCACGTATAGCTTCAGCTTATTTTCATACTTTGCAGTCAGCTATGCTGAAAGTCATTGTAGCCAACTATCTCAAGCAACACACGGGTATATTTCTAAAGTTAATATGCTATTTTAAGATATACAACAAAAGTAAATAAAATTTAATACCACATCATCTGTCATCATTTCATAATCAGAATACGACGTAAAGGAGATTACACCATTGATTGCACGAGAATCATGTGCACTGTTTCAAGATCTTATCGGACTTGTTGTTCAAAGGGCATCTAAAACTGTTGATTCAGTCAATCCTGCAATAATAATGAATATTGAAAGCACATCAGCTCAAGCGTTTTTTTCAGCACCAACTTTAGCTGAAGTATTAAATCATTTTCAAAATTTACATCGTGACGTTAAAGGTGATATCGTTGAAATGAACATTTTAAAAGGATTAGCGGATGTGTTACCAACAGAATTTAGTGGTTTAGGGATCAATGGAGTAGCAACTAGTAATGATTCAGTGGTATTGGACGAAAGAGATGATGATGATGTAGGTGAATTATTCTCGGTTTGGAATAATAGCAATAATCAGGGAACATCAAATAAAAAATCGCGAATAAGGAGGGCAAGTACCACTGATATTTCAGATACCAATTCGAGACGAACATTATATGGATCACCAGCTATGGATTTCATAGAAGAAACTACGACAAGGAAAAGAAAAGGAATTGATACAGAAAATAATAAGAACGCGTCAAAAAAGGTACTAACTTGTTTCTAGCACGTAGTTTTTACAATTAAAGTAAATCTTTTCTTTTTGTCTTTTTTTTTGTCAATAGGCAAAAACACCAACTGTAAATATGACTGCTAGCGTAATACCGACGCCATTCAGGATCATTCCAGGCCAAGGTTCTGAGTATTTACATGAAACACTTAACGAGGACGGGTAAGATCTTTCAAGAAATTATATTCATTGTGATTATTAAATTTATCTTAATTTCAAACAGTTCACGTGTTCTGAACATTTAATAAGTTTCCAACATTCTACCGAATTCGATGAATCTATGCTGACTTCTTTCACCACGTCGTTTTTCGCCCCGACTGATGATATAAATCTGTCCACATCTTCCAATCCACTTGTGACTTATGCACAACACCGTATAACCACTGCTTATGATGCAATATCCCATCATCTAACAACACATACGCAAGGAAAAATATCACTTTATGAAAAGTCGTGCCAAGAATATGAACTATTACTAGAAATACTTGAGGCATTAGATGGTGTTGGAGATGAGGTTGCATTGGCGAAGATGTTAGAGAATTGGATCGAAGACGTTGAAGATGAAGATGTAATAATAGAAGATCCTTCACTGAACGCTAATGTTGGTGTCGTTACCGGAGAGGTAAGTTCGTCTTCTTCTGTCGAGGAGGGCGAAATCGAGGACGAGGAAGAAATTGTAAATCATGATGGAAATGTTCTCAAAAAGAATGACGAAATATCAACACTATCGCGCAACAAAACTATAATCTTAAAAAATTCGGAAACAGGGAAAAACAAACTCGCCAGAGAGAGCAGTCCTGGGTGGGCATGGGATGATGAGGAAATTGGAGACTGATCCATCTTAACAGATATACATCAGAAACTGTGTATATACTCATGATGGTTTATTTATTTTATATCACTTGTGGTGTAAAAGATCTTGCTTTTTGTATATTATATATTTTTGAACAAAACTCATCTTACTCTTCCCTTGATATTTATTTTATATCAATAGAATTCTTTGGTGACCCTAGCACATGTTTGCTTTTATGTATCGGAAAATATACAATGTCCGAATTCTCAAACTAAAACGTTTGTAAACAAATAAAATAAACAAGAAACCACAAGAGGAAAAAAAGCATAAATTTCTTAAACAAGAAATTTTGTAGAAAATTAAAGACAATATGTAAAAAAACAGCAATCTATTGTCCGGAAGATACTCTGCACAAATAAATGTGAGCGCAATGTGTTGCATCTGTGACTGTGGTGACGTAATTGTTTTGTTTGCTTGTATATCTTGCCAATTAACCGGTTCCTAGTAAAATTTCTATGGGGATACGATCTTCAGTCTCAATTTTATTCGCGCTCTGACGATGCCTACAAAAATTTTTTCATTCTTGTAATTTTGATCAGTCGAATTTTAGGATCAGATGTAACGTGAAATCGAAACGAAGCTACTTTTTACAAAAAATAAGAATAAATATAATTAGGAAACCACCTTCTGCGGCCTACTCAAAAATGTTCCTTGTGAAATTTTATTGGAACTATATTGTTCTAATTCTAACTTTAACTATAACACGTTTTCTTTTAGTATTAAGTTTATGTGCAACATTTCTTCAAATGATCGGATTATTAGATCAGTTGTAAAGTGAAAATTACACTTTTTTAAACCACCATTTAGTCTATAGCAGTTATGTCAGAAAATCTTTAGAATGATTTAAAATTAACTTTTAGGTTTGGGTGTTTTTCTGGGTATGAGATTTTAAAATTTTTTATAAGGTTGTTATAGTCTAGTTTTTTGGTTTTATTTTTTATAGTTTTTAGATTTTTAGTTTTTTTAAAAAATAATAAAATATAAAAAAAAAATTTTTATATAGTGTAAAATACTTAGAAATAACTATTAAATAGTATTAGTGTAATATCAATTATTTTTTAATTGCATATTAAAGGTTATAAATTGCAGAAACAGGGTGTGGTGACCTAGTGAAGTGAATAGGTTGTTAACCCTCAAGTGGCAGATTTAAGGTTCAATTCTTATGGATGATGAATTTTGAAAATTATATCTGTGTTATAGTAACTGTTTTTTGCTGATCAGTTGGGTTTTAGGCATCTGTAATCTTAAGTATATCAAATTAGGTTTCATCTAACATTGAAAGTTTGGAGCATTTATGTGAAGTGTAACATTACATATATATAAAGGAATATGAAAAAAACTGGTATTATAAAGGTTTTGGTATAAATCTGTAATAAGATCATTGGACATAGAAGGTTAAGAAACTAAAAAGACAGAAACCTAGTTGGAAATACTGAGTAAAGAGGTAGCACAAATCTTTGATAGTGTCATTGGATCAATAAAAGTTTATGAAACATTTTTATAAGAATTGTTAGATAAATCAGATGACAAGATGTGTAGAAAAGTATATGACCAACCAGGTTGTCAAAATTGCTAGAAAAAAAGAATACATAAGTATATTATACTAAATTATCTGAATTGGAAGTCTAAAAAGTTAGTTGATTCCAAGTTGCAACTAGTAAGAGATAATAGAAAAAAAGTCAGAAAGATGAATACCAGGATTTGGGTAAACTTTATAAGGATAATAGTAATTTAATGAATAACTCTGACTGCAAGTATTGATCTTAGTCATAATATTAAACCAGGTTAGTAGTAAAAAAGAATATTGTTCATTTTGATAAGTTTATTTCAAAGATAAAAAGTTTAAAGATATATAATCCTATGTTTAAAAATAAATAGATCTGGATTTGTGATCTGGTAAAATTAATATTAGGATCAGATTAGAGAATTTAAATGAAACATTTAAGTAAGAATATTAGATACAGCAACTGGCAGAAAACCTTTGAGTAGACTTCTTAAATAGGTAATATAAAAAAGTTATATATATAGTTAATTGTATATTTGTTTAATAGTTCAATATAGATATGTCTATATAAAATATGTATCTAATATAAGTATTAATAAAAAGCTAGAACTAAAGAGGTTACCTGAATATTGAAAAAAAATAATAAATTGCAAGAACTTGTTTTTTACAAATATTTTATCTATTATATTTACTTTATAATTATGTTTTAAAATAAATATAATAATAAAAAAAACAAAAAAAATTATTTATTTAATTATTATAATAGTTTATTCTTCTATATTTTTTAACTAATATTATTTATATATTAGTATTTTAATTGTTTCTAAAATAAGTTTTGATAATATTTATCAATAATTCTTTTAGTTATACTAAAATCTAAAAATAAATTACAAGTTAGTTTATATTTAAAAAAAAATTAAGAATTTATATATAAGGATTAGAAATATAAAATAATTATAAATAAAAGTTCTTTTTTTTTTTTTAATGTTAAGATAAGTATATGTAATCTAAAACTTTATTGGTAGTATATATTGGCTAGCATCTGTTAATATAACAAATATAAAGACAATCATAAAAAGAGTATACAACTAATCATTTATATAGCTTTAGTTATTGTTTAATTTAAGTAGTTTACCTAAAGGTTTTATACTAGTTACTATATCTAAAACCTATCTGTAAATTCTTTCTTAAACATTTTGATTCTATATTTATTCTATCTTACTAATAATTCTGATAAATTGATAAAAATATATTATAGTTACTAAATTATATTTAATTTTATACAAATCTACTAAAGTCTTCTGTATTTCATACTTATAGCTAACTTAGTATTACTTTGGTCTAAACTATTTTTGCAATCAGGATTAATTATTAAACCATTATATCTTTGTAAGATTTATTCAAATTTTAGTACATATCTTTTTAATATTTTCTTTATTGTCTTCTACTAATTACTTTACAGAAACATAATTTTTTACTAAATATAATAATTATATAATAATTATATAATTATAATATTATAAATATATAATAAAATAAATATATAATAAAAATATAATAAAAATATTTTTTATACCTATTAAATAACTTGTAAAAAACTAATTAAAAAATATTTAATATATATTTAAAATATATTTTAAATATAATTAATATATTTATACAAATTAGCCTCACAAACAATTATTGTTATTCTGCTTAAAGTTAATGAACTTTCCTATGAACAAATATGAAAACCCTATTGTATAAACTTTGCCAACTGGAAAC